CTTTTACTATATGATCTATATAGCCCCACCCTAGCACCAGAACCCCTGACCCTGGAGCTATGAATTTCACAATTTTGGTAGAGTCACTCTTGCTTATCATAACTATTATTCAATTTGTTTCAATAATACCCAGGAGTAGAGAAGATTTTCAAAGAAATAATGCACTTTCACTATATGATCTACATAGCCCCGCCCTAGCACCAGAACCCCTGACCCTGGGGCTATGAATTTCACAATTTTGGTAGATTCACTCTTGCTTATCATAACTATGTATTCAATTTGTTTCAATAATACCCAGGAGTAAAGAAGAAGATTTTCAAAGAAATAATGCACTTTCACTATATGATCTATATAGCCCCGCCCTTGCACCAGAACCCCTGAACCTGGGGCCATGAATTTCACAATTTTGGTAGAGGGCTCAATGCTTATTACAATGATGCAACAGTTTGACTGCTTGATGTCCAGAAGTAAAGAAGAAGATTTTTAAAGATTGCATTAATTTTGGTGGTTTTAGCCCCACCCCTCAGGCCCCGGGGGGGGGGGCAGGGACCATGAAATTCAAAAATTTTGTTCCCCTTCACGCATAGATGCCATATGCTAAAATTGGCTGAAATTGGTTCAGCGGTTTCAGAGAAGAAGCTGAAAATGTTCAAAATGTTCAAATGTTAACACACAACCCATGGCGACGGATGAAAACAGACTCAGGTGACCTAAAAAATTAAATGTAAATATATATTATTTAATTGTAATGTCAGTGTGTGAATTGTTTTATGTTGTTTTTCTCTTTTAAAATTGAATAATTGAAAACAGATTTATATATTTCATTACCTTTTAATTACTTGTATAAATAAAGATTTTAGTATAATAATAATTAAAGTACACAAAGTAAAAGTTTATAATTTCAAAGGCTCGTTAAAGAGTGCCCCCATGAAAACTTGTCGTGGCATAAAGTGCCCTTTTGATTTTTGGATTACCATGCCCTTTTAAGGTATAGATTTAACACTACTTAACTTATTTTAAAGAAGTCAAGAACATATAGAATTTTACTGAGTTATTTATATAGCTGAAATTGTAAGTCACCAACTCCTTGCAGTTTACAGAAAAAATCTATGTTGACCTTGACATTTGACATGATCAGACATTGAAAAATGAAAATAATGTACAAGTTGTTTTAAAACAATTTTAATATGTGACCTCTAGTAACATCACGAAATGCAAGACTACATGTACACTAGCTGGTACATGCATTACAAGAGGCCCAAGGGCCTTCTGAGAAATTTTACAACCTATATCTCCTGTTTTAAGCCTCTTGGAAACATATATACAAGGATAAACCCTTGAAATTCCAAAAGTAGGTCAGCATTGCAACAATTGACAAAGTTAGATAATTCAAAGCAAATTCGTCTCTCAAATATTTCAATTTAGCCATGAAATTGCAATAGTAGGTCACGGTGACCTATGTTTTGGTTGACACACTTTGAGAACCCAAAATGCATCAACTGAAATAGTTTGATAACTCTAAGCCAATAACTATCTGAAATAGCTGCCAAATTCCAAAAGTACATCACGGTGACCTACTTTTTGGTTGATACACTCCAAAGAACTCAAGATGTATCAACAGAAAAAGTTTGATGATTCTAAGCCAATTAGTAACTGAAACAAGAGGCCCAAGGGCCTTAACGGTCACCTGAGTATAATACAACAATTTAGAAGTTAAATACACCAATAGACGAAGCTTTGTTGCCCTAAAGCAAGAGAGGTAGGAAGATCAGGATCAACAAAATAATTAGTCTAGTATTCAGTATCAACTCATAAATTAAGTTCTAATCTGTCCCCCACTTAACACTATCACCATGCAGACTATTGACAAACTATTAGTGCTTCTGTACTATTTTTAAACCCATATTAAGACCTCTAGTATTGACCTCTCTTATGGTCTTTGAAGAACTTTTAATAAGATATTTTTGTCTCATATTTATTTATCTATTACTTACAGGTCTACCTGATTATTAAAACTAAGAAAGTACTTTTTGAATTATACGATAAACATTCTTGCATATTTATCTTATTCTATTAACCTTTCAAATACATTATTTACAGTGATTAATTATCAAAGGTGAATGGAAAAGGGGAATAACTTCTCTCAGTAGAATACAAATTAATAGAGCCCTGCCCAGGACCAGAATGCTTAGACAAATGGTCCAGATGTTCAAAAATTTGGTAGAAATATGCTTACTTATATCATTTAAACTTTTACTCAGTTTGCTTCCCATATGCCCAGAAGGAGAGAAGAATTTCACAGGTACAATGCATTTTCACTACAGATTCAACAAAGCCTTACCCTAACACCAGAACCAAAGACCAAGGGTCAAGAAATTTACAAATTTGGAAGAGTTACCCTCATCATCATAACTATGGACTTCAAAGAATTAACACTTTTCCACTATTTTATCAAAAGCCCTCCCCCCCCCCTCCCCTCGTTATGCCAGAACCCCTGACCCTAGGACCACAAGATTTAAAAATTCTGTTCAAAGCTCCCATTTTCATCATAGCTAAGCAATTTATTTATCAGCTCAACACTAAGGAGCAGACAGGATTAATTAATGATTAATTAATAGAATTAATGCTTTTTCAATATATAATCAATAGAGCCCCCCCCCTCCTCAAAAACCCCAAAAACTGAGGCCATATATTTAAAAATTTTGGAAGAGGCATCCTTCCCTATCATAATCATGCACTTAGTTTGTTTAAATAATCTCCAGTAGCAGAGAAGAAGATTTTCAAAAAATCAATGCATTTTCACTATATAATCAAAAGAGCCCCGCCCTTACACCAGAACCCCTGACCCTGGGGCTATGAATTTCACAATTTTGGAAGAACCACTCTTGCTCTTCATAACTATGTACTTAGTTACTTTATTTCATACCAAGGAGCAGAGAAGAAGATTTTCAAAGAAATAATGCACTTTCACTATATGATCTATATAGCCCCACCCTGGGGCCATGAATTTCACAATTTTGGTAGAGGGCTCAATGCTTATTACAATGATGCTAACAGTTTGACTGCTTGATGTCCAGGAGAAAAGAAGATTTTTAAAGATTGCATTATTTTTGGTGGTTTTAGCCCCACCCCTCAGGCCCTAGGGGGCAAGGACCATGAAATTCACAATTTTTGTTCCCCGTCACCCATAGATGCTATATGCCAAATTTGGTTGAAATTGGTTAAGCGGTTTCAGAGAAGACGCTAAAAATGTTCAAATGTTAACACACAAGGCACGACAATGGACGAGAACGGATAGCAATAGGTCAACTGAATGACTCAGGTGACCTAAAAACAATGAAATTGCAAAAGAAGGTCACAGTGGCCTACTATTTGGTTGGCACACTTTGAGGACTCAAGATACATCAAATGACAAAGTTTGATGATTCTAAGCCAATTACTATCTGAAAATAGTCATCAAATTCCAAAAGTAGGTCACAGTGACCTACTTTTTGGTTGACACACTCTGAGGACCTAAATCTATCAACAGACAAAGTTGGAGGAGTCTATGTTAATTAGTATCTGAATTAGCCATGAAATTGGAAAAGTAGGTCATGGTGACCTACTTTTTGGTTGACACACTTTGAGGACCCAAGAGGCATCAACTGACAAAGCCTGATTATTCTAAACCAATTAGTATCTGTAGTATTGAAATGAATCTATGAAATTCCAAAAGTAGGTCACAGTGACCTACTTTTTTGGTTGACACACACAGGGGACCCAAGATGCTTTAAATGATACAGTCTGATAATTCAAAGCCAAGTAGTACCTGAAATATTAAAATTTAGCCATGAAGTTGCAAAAGTAGTTCACAGTGATCTTCTTTTTGGTTGACACACTTAAAGGACCCAAAATATATCAACTGACATACTTTGATAATTCTAAGCCGATTACTATCTGAAATAGCCATCAAATTCCAAAAGTAGGTCATCATGACCTATGTGACAAAAACTGTCTTTGGGTACCAACATATTTGACCTCTTGACCTTTGAGTTTGATCCACTTTTGCAAAATTTTACTGAACTTTAACCTTGGACATAACTTTTGAATGGTTGGTGCTAGGGCTTTCATACTTCATATGTGTTTTCTTAATAAGACCTTTCCTTGGGTACTAACAATTTTGATCTTTTACCTTGATCTTGGAGTTTGACTCACTGTTAAAAAACTTTGACCTTGGCCATAAGTTTTGAATGGTTGAAACTACAATGTATATATTTATAATATATATATTATATATAATTATGTGTGTATTCCTTGTGTCAAGACCTTCTGTTGGATACAAACAATTTTAACTCTTTGACCTTAACTTGGAGTTTGATCTACTTTTGAAAAGCTTTATCCTTGGCCATAATTTTCAACGGTTGGTGATTGGGCTTTTACTTCACAGATTTATTCCTTGTGACAAGACCTTCCCTTGGGTACCAAAAATTTCGACCTTGACCTTGGAGTTTGACCTACTTTTCAAAAACTTTAACCTTCCCCATAACATTTTTACTGTTAGTGCTAGGGCTGTCATATTTCACAGGTGTATTCCTTGTCTCAAGATTTTCCCTTGGGTACCAACAATTTTGATCTTTTATCTTTGACTTTGTTTTTCAACCTACATTTGAAAACTTTAACCATGGCCATATTCCCCATAACATTTTAACTGTTAGTGCTAGGGCTTTCATATTTCACAGGTGTATTCCTTGTGACAAGATCTTACCTTGGGTACCTTTATCCTTGACTTTGCTTTTTGACCTATATTTGAAAACTTTAACCATGGCCATATCTTTTGAGCATTTGGTGCTAGCCTAAGGGTTTTCGTATTTCACAGGTGTATTCCTTGTGACAAAATCTTTCTTTCGGTAACAATATTTTTCTTTATCTCTTGACCTTGGAGTTTAACATGCATTTGAGAAACTTTAACCTTTGCCTTGAGCTGCCATTTGGGAGCATCAGTGTTTCACAAACACATCTTATTATCATTGTCATTTATTATTCAATTCTGAATAAAATTGATACTTTAGAATATAAAAGTGCTTGTCTGATAATTGCCCCTTATTACAGAAGAATCAGATGTATTCATGATGTATAACCTTTCTCACATCCTACTTGTATTTTGCATAACTACTGCGAGATCTACATGTACAAGCAAAAGCAAATCACAGAGATAAAATTCTCATAAAATTTTGACTGTATTTTAATTGTAACAATTAATTCCCTGTTTTTGCCAAAATCTACAAATATCATTTGATAAATATATCCTAATTAAGCCCTTCATTGTAACAATGCAATAGGCTGAAACAAACTGAACTTTAACCTAAACAAAATTCCAGATTATTTCTAACAACTGTAATTAAGTTTTATGAGAGAGAAATAAAATTTACTGCACAAACATTTTTAAAATTCAATTAACTCTAAAATCACAGAAACTGCTTTACTGTAGGAATTAAGGAATGACTCAAATTTATGCTTTCAGAACTTCGATCATATTCATAAATGGTATACTTCTGAACATGGACCTTGTACACTTCAACTGCACTCCTAAATTACATTTGTTTAAAAAGAGTACGTATTTCACTCACTCTATGAATATTAATTATATTTTGTAATTCTGGTTTATCCCAGTCTATGCCCCCCACCTCCAGCTGCCCTTCTCTGACCACCTGCCTGGCCAGTTGCCTGACTAGACATCACTACAAGAAATAGAACTGCTCCAAACAAAAGTCCAGGGAGTCCAAACAAGAGAGTAGCAAGAATCATTCCCACTGTTGCTATAGGCTCTACTACATAGGGTCCAACATTGAAACGGGGTATTCCCAGGTCTAGAAGTTTTTGGTTAATTAATGTGAACACTGACACTTGTCCGTCACCTTGACCCAGAAATCCTCTTCCTTGTCCAGCCTGCTGATCACTATCATGTTGCACAAAGCCCTTTGATGAAAAAAAAAATGATAATCTATAAATTAATATTCCTAGATAATATCCTTAATACCTGTGGGACTTGTTTCCCCTGGGGACTCAAGTTGAGCTTATTTTCTCTGTGAGACTTGATTTAGTATTGTCCCTGATCAAAATCAGTCCAAAACAAGATGCCCATGGCCATAATGCTCACCTGAGTCACCTTGATACTGCTGTTCTTAGAGGAAAAATATTTCCCCATTATTTTGGTGAACACTGTGACTACAATTTGCCAACCCCCAACCTCCCTTAGACTGTGGGGTTATAATTTAATCTGCTCTATCCACATAACATTGGGACGCTTTGATATCAATATGAGTAATATGACCTTGCTGTTCTGTAGGCTAGTTGAAGATTTAAAGATTTTTTTCACCAATGAACACGATGAATCAATCAATCTCTTGCCTTCCAACAAAGGTTCTTCCTTCCCTTGTCATTGTTTTTCAATATTTGTAGTAAAGAATGTGTAATCTTAGGAAGAAAGTGACAGACCAGAACAGAATATTTAAGTTTATTATTGGCTCCACTTTGCTGAAAAATAGCTAAACGAATGTACCTGTCGTGGCCTTGAAGAGTTACTGCCCCTGTTTCCAGCTGCTTGTTGAGCCCTGGGGTCATCATCTGGCACTATGTCTCCATTACTAAGAATTCTGACCATCGCAATTAGTGCTGTATCAAGCAAGACAAATCGTGATCATCTACAACACTGTACAATGCAATATGTGATTTACAGATGATGGGTTTCTGACTTGCGTTACATTATTTTTTATTTATATATCAAAATTGATTCACTTGTGTTGTGTCCTAAATTATTATTTGAATTATAGGTATTTTAGAGTGATAAAAAAAAAGTAATTGAGTTTTCAACCATACCTTAGAGTTCAAACATAGTGTAACGTGTATGTTTACAATTCACATAACTGTTTTTACCTCACTCACACAGAAGAGTTCACATACCTTCTGTTTCCTGTTTACTGCTGGTGATTGGAATTTGGATTGATTACTTACCTTACAATTATTAAAAGTTTGTATATTTGGTCAATTTTTTGGCATATTTAGGGTCATCCCATTATAACTAAAGCTATAATTGCATTGTCGTGTATTTTTTCATGTATTTCAAGTTGCATGTGTTACTAATTGAAGGAAGAATTTATCAGTTTATGCATTTCCCTAAGATTTACTAGAGGAGGTGTGTCAAGTAGGCCTAGTGACATCAAAAACGAACTGTGCATTGGCCAGAAGCTACATCAGATACAGGGGCAGCATTCTCTATACTGAGTGTGATTTTTTAAAATAATGTTTTAAAAAGAATAATGAATTTGCTTTTTTCATGACATTCAGAGGTACACTTCAAACATGGGGAAGCATAAGAAACATAAGCATGGACATCGCAGTAGCAGCAGCAGTAGTAGTAGCAGTTCAAGCTCAGATGAGGAATTTAAGCATCTTCCCAAAGCAGAGAGAAAGATGAGGAAGAAAATGAAGAAGCAGATGAAAAAGGTAACTATGCAATAGGCGGATCTAGACGGCCTCTTTTATCAGAGGATAGCAAAAGTTCAATATAGCAACCAAATTTTTACCATATATGGAAAATTCGAAGCAATGTGGGATAGTTTATGCTCTGATTTTGGAGGTTAAGCATGTGTAATTTTAAAAATGCCCTGTGCCTATCTTTAGTGGAAAAATTGGGGGGGGGGGGGGGGGGGAGGGGCTAGCCCTCCTACTTTTCCTACTTTTCTCCACCATATTAACCTTTTCTTTTACTGTTGAAAATGTTCATTGAAAGGCTGCCCCCCCCCACTTCTTGTTGTAGCATAGTTAAATCATAGTAATTTGGTAATGTACATGTATTGACAAAATTTGGTTGTGTGTGAAAGGTAGTTGGAAGTTACCCCCCCCCCCCCCCCCCCCATCCACACACCCCAGACAAAACAGGATTTTTGAGTTTGGAAGTTGACCCCCCCCCCCTTTTTTTTTTTCAAAAATGATACTTACATGCCTGAATGCCACCAGAGTACATGCAAATAAAATTTCAAACATTTAGATATAATTTAATTTTGTTTGTATTCTAGCCTCTGATTGGTTAATATCCAAAAAGGAACACAAATTATTTCTGTATAACCTGGTTTGGTATGGGGACACACCCCCCTGACAACCAGCTGAATCATCTGTATGCATACAATCCTCTCATTTCCAGTCCTCGGGATTCATGGAAAATTCCAGATTTAATAAATGTACCATTAACTTCAAACAATAATTTGATCTTACCCCATGTAAACAAACAACAAGGCTGCTAGGCCTATGTATCAGTTTTTACCTCCCCTCACTTCCCATCACTTCCGTTACTACAGTTGTATTATTGAGCGGCAAATTTGAACTAATAAAAAGCAACGAAATTTTTTAATGATTTTAAAATTAAATTATAAGGAATGACTCTAATTCTTGGCCAAATTATTCGAGTATAACCTGGTTTTGGTCAGTTTACGCTGTTTTATAATCCGCTTCTCGAATTATGAAGCGTAAACTGACCCAAACCAGGTTATACTCGAATAATTTGGCCAAGAATTAGAGTCATTCCTAAAATCAATTGTAGGTGGCAATGTGAGATTCTTTGTCTAGATACATACATAAATGAATGTTTAAGGATTATTAAATGATTGACATTATAAATAATTAAGCTTAATTTAAAAAAAATCCGTTAATCAACATGTCTAGGGTATTAATTTATTCAGAATATAACTTTGGGCAATTAATACAACCCATTAGTATATAAGTATAATAACATATACAGTCAAACCTCGTTATCTCGAACTCAATGGGCTCGAGAAAAAAGTTTGAGATATCCGAGGATTTGAGATATCGAGGGTAAAATACTTAAAGAACAAGTGTTTGGGACTTCCAAATCACTTCGACATATCCATGGTATTTGAGATATCAGTGTTTGAGATATCGAAGTTCAACTGTGTAATTATAACAAATTTTACTGTAATTAAGACTTCAATTTAGATTTTGCCATGGGACATTGGGTTGACTTTTAAAATATTGTATTCAGAATTCTGACATTTATTTTTTCCAGTAAACTACACATCACCAATTTTTATTAAAATATGTGTATTGATTCTACCTGTTGAAATTTTAGGGAAAGATACCTCATGGTGTAGGAATGCCTGCAACCCATGGCTCTGTAAGTATCAGTTTTGTATGAATATGTGTGTGTTTTACATGCATGTATGTTTATTACATTTACATTAATGCATTCACTCTGTATGTGAAAACTATGTAAATTTCCATTTTGCTATTGAAATAAAATAAAGGGGAAAAAATGGCCACACTTATTGTAGGGATACCCAGGTGTAGTAGTCTCAGGTGGTAGTGGATATCCAGCAGGAAGTTACCCACCAGGCCAAGGTGGCATGCTACCAGGTGGAGCTGGGTACCCAGCAGGTGGAACGGGCTATCCAGCAGGTGGAACAAGCTATCCAGCAGGTGGATCAGGCTATCCAATCGGGGTTGCACCAGCACCTGGGGTGCCACCACCTGCAGGATATTCAGCTGGTGGATTTGTTCCAGCAGGTGGTGCCCCAGGATATCCTGCGGCCCCCCAGCCTGCCTACCCTCAAGCACCAGGGGGAACGTATCCAGGTATCTTTGGTGTCATTCATCAATTTTCAATATCAAATGCCATTTTATTTTCATGTATGCACATTTTCTCAAGCACAAACATTATCATCAGATTCAGTTGGAGGTTGGATGTTTCTGACTTTGTATAATTAATAATAATATTAAGCATTATTCCTGAATGTTTCTTAACGTTAACTGCTATAGGTTTACTTGCTCAGACTGGTGGATTCTACAATTATAAAATTGTACAGTACATGGAGTATAATACAACATTTTAGAATGATTCAATGCATAAACAGAGCAGGGTGCTCCCACTCTACTGTTCACAACAGGTTCTAAGTGTATACACATAAAGTTTGTAGGACTGGGTATTGGCTGGAGATTTTGTATTGCGATATATTGCGATATTTTTAACTGTATTGCAATCTGTATTGTAATATTTTCCACCCCAAATAAAATGGCAATTTTTAAATTGATTATCTTCCATTTACATATTGAACATACATAGCTGTGTTAAATGACCAAGAAAAAATAGGTTGTTGATTTATTTACAGTAATGCTTCGAAATACACGCATACAACAGCTTTTGTCATACTATTTGACACAATCACAAGCGTTTCTAACAACTTACACTGCATATTTGTCACAAATGTTTTGCCTGTATATTGATACTACAAAAACTTATTGAAATACAATATTTTTTTCATTGTACTGCAGTATATCAGAATATGGGTATTACTGCCCATCCCTAAAAGCTAGAGAGTCTTAATATTGAACCAAGTAACTGTTTTGAGTTATTTAATTTTGTTCGTTATTTTGATATGCATTACCCTCAACATATTCCTCTGCTTAATTCATGATTTTATTTTTTTTATCTGAAGGACAAGTACCTCCTCCAGCTCAGTACCCTGGTGGTAAGTAATGCTGCTGTCAGACTAATGCATGCTGATGTACACATATAAGTTAAGCCAAAGTACAGACTAGTGCATGCTGATGTACCGTACATATAACTTAAGCCATAGTACAGACTAGTGCATGCTGATAGTACATATAAAATACACATTAAACAGTAATTAATACTGCACTTCGTACCAGTACTTAAACAGATTAACATAGATTTTTTTTTCATAAATACAGTTGTATATTACCTTTTCTGAAAAGGGGGGGGGGGGTGTTTGTTTAAATTTAACAATGGTATGGATGCATTTTTATTTTCCATTTTTGAGATCTAAATAAATTTAAAAAAAAGAAGAATTTATAAAATGTTAAAATGTTCAAATTTAAACAAAATTTCAGAAGCATAGTGCTTATAATGCCTTTGAAACATCTCTGGAGTCATAATACTGTCAGAGCTAATCTTTTTTTTAAATGCCCCTTTGAACATTGATAATCCCGAAGATTACTGGAGACTGCTGAAGATATATAATTTATTATTAAGTTCACATCAGTAGTAATCGGTAGCATATTATAATATATAATCTTACTCACAATGCCCTCCTGTTTATGTGGTAGACAAGCCAAGAAACAGAAACACCCAGTTAACTGATTATTTATTATATTCCAATTTTTCTGATGTCAGAAATGTCACTTTTCAATATGAATGAAAATCGAAATGAGGAACTGCGACCCAACGGTCAAGGATAACTGTTGTTTCTGTTTCCATTGCAGGCTATCCGCGTTAGTGACCCGCTTTCTGCAATACCGACCTACATATACCTCAATAATATATAGGTGGAAGTTTAGGATATTATCCAGCTTTATGTTATTCTGGGGAGGTTAGAGATGCTGATCTAGTATACTACAAACTCTGCATGACTGCTGTTTATTGTTATAATTGATATCTGTTTTATTAGTTTTTCTTCATCTATGACGTAACCAATGTTTATATGTTGTTGATTTAAAATGCAAGGTTGGAATTTGACATTACTCTTTAATGTTGCTGTATTTTTGTAAATTTTTTTTTAATGAGAAGGTATATAATTTTCTGTTTTAAAGCAATATTTTTATCATACAGTTCTTAGAATAATATTTACTGATTTGCTAGTCATGCTAGTTTTTGTAAAAAAAAATCTTGTTTATTTATGTAAATTTTAAGTAAATAACAATCAATGTGTCTAATTCTGCTACTATGTTTTTATTGAATGGTCTTTGTCTTTTGAAGGTGTGAGTTTCTTTGTTTTGAAATTATTTTGTATTAATTCTGATATAGCATAATTATATTATCACATGTTCAGGGTTGTCCCTAAGAATTAAAATAGCAGGGGACATTAAAAGAGTAGAAGGAGATCTGGGGTTCCTCTCCTAACGGGGGAGTGAGGAGGAATACCAAAGTAACCGGGGGATTGTGTCATTATAGGCGGGGAAATTCCCCGGCCCCCGCATCTTAGGGACAACCCTGCATGTTAATACTGAATGGCATGTTACATTTTGTAAGTATGTTCCATCATTGATATTTTATGAATTTATATATTGACATGTTTCTCTGTTGTTCATGATTTTGTTAAAGTGCATGTATAAATTTATTCTTAAAAAAGTGAAATAAGTGATACAGAATTTTAATTTGGAGATGGAATTTATTACTTAAGTTCATTGCTTCTAATTTTTGATATTAAGACCAAAATAAGATAGGTATTTCAATCAAACTTTGATTTAAATGTTTAATTCGATCACTTGCATTATAAAAATTTAATTTTTGCTCTTAGAAAACTATGCATTATACACATTAAACACAATCAATATTAAGTAAATGGTAAAGAAGAAAAACTACTAGATTAACTTAACTCAATGTAATTAGTTTACGAATTATTCAACTGTGATATTAACATGACTGTACAGATATGTTTGAAAGATGCAAGTCATTTTCAAAATAAAATCTATAATTTATATTTCAAAGTCTGCACATCAGTCATTCATTAATCTACCATTTATACATGTATTTTCATTGTAAAAGATGTTGCTCTTGAAAAGTGAACTACAAAATTGAGAAAAAAATTTACTTGTATTGTGTGGGATTTCAAAATAGATATTTATGAAGAATGGATTATGTTTAAATGATTCTCAACAATAAATCCAGCAGAAATATTTTTTTTTCTTTTTCTGAGCAGCGCATTGTGGTAAACATAAAGTAGGACTTAATTAGTTTATCCTCACTCCCAAATCTAATATAATATAAAGTATAAACACACAATATGATCTACTTGAGTTCATAGCTTCTAAACTTTATATAAATAAAGCCTCCCTCACTAAGAGAAAAACAGAACATGAGGCAGTACAAAAATGCTTTAAAAAATATTGCTATTATTTAATTATACTGAATGTATCAGAGCTGATGTCTATGAATGTATGTATTTCACAAAATAACTTTAATTATTACATTTTCAACAGTGAAATACTGTGATTTATTCATTGAATAAAAGTGATATTCTCTCACAGTGTGAAAGGATACCAAAGTGGTATTCTCTCACAGTGGGAAATGATATCAAAGTAAGTAAAATATAATTTCTGGTCTGTAATAAGATTGAAGTAGTAACTAAACCATCTTGACAGAGACTAAAACTGCCAAATTCTTCCCAAATATGTTGCTAAAATTCATGTTACAATGTCTTGTCATCTTACAACTGCTAAGCCATGATGTCTCAACTGCTCAACTATGACGTCACACAATTACACTGGGTTAAGAAAAGACAGAGGCAAAGGGAAAATCAAAGAAAATGTAATAAATAGAAAATTCAATGTTTTGTAGTTGGATATGGAATTTATTTCACTTGTGAGACAGAATTTTTGGATATCAAAAAATCCTGTCCCACTCGTGAAATAAATTCCATATCCAACTACAAAACATTGAATATCCTCTATTTATTCCAGACTTTGATTGTCATAACCTAGCTTACAATCTTCATATTGCATTTGGCTTTTTCTGTATAAGTACAATGACAATGATCCAGCTTCATAAAACTACAAGAAGCATTTAAATCTGTGCCAGGGAAAAAAATAATATTGACAATGTGTTAAACATAGGTTTGAGAGGGGGGGGGGGGGGGGTCAAACTTGTTGCAATTCCTATTTCTTGTATTTTGGCTTCGTACAAGCTCAGGTACAAGTGCTTTTAATAATTTAAAACATACTAATCATCATAATGCAAATTAAAAAATGATCCTGTTTTTCTTCTTGACTTCAAAATCTCCTTAGAATCTAAAGTTGAGCATTATTTTTGGACCATGTAAAGAATGAATTCATTTAACTTTATGTATAAGGCAAGTTCAAACAAAATCTTAAATCTGATCAGAATATCTATTTTTAAGTGTTTTTAAAAAGTACTTAATTTTTATCATTTCAAATATTGAATATTTAGGAACACAATCAGCTGGTTACCCTGGGCAACAACCAAGTCAAGGAGGTTACCCTGGGCAACAGCCAAGTCAAGGTGGTTACCCTGGGCAACAGCCAAGTCAAGGTGGTTATCCTGGGCAACAGCCTACATCCTCTAGTGGATACTCAACACAAGGAGGCTATCCTACCCAGCCAGGGGGTTACCTAGGGCAGCAGGCTGGAGGTTACCCTGGACAACAACCTCCACCTGCACAGGTTGGGGTACCGGGACAGCAGTCTTATGCCCCTCAAGGACAACAAGGATATGGACAGGTAAACTGAATTAAAGTATATTTTGTACCTTAGATGACTTGAGCAATCTATGCTGAGTAATTTTGCAATTCTTTGGGTAATATTTGCATTTTACATTAGCAGACACCAGGAGGAGTGGCTTCTGCCACAGCAGGAATGGGTAACCTGCAGATAGGATCTATGGGGGATATTCCACGCCCGACAGTTCGACCAGCAAATCCATTCAACTGTGAGCGAGACACTCAGGTCCTCCGAACTGCTATGAAAGGAATAGGTATTATAGCAGTTTTTTAGATTTAAAAACAAAGATAAATATGATTTTATTATTTTTTCATAATAGGGCTGGAACGATACAACATTTTCTGAATCGATACGTATCACAATATTTGAGCCACGATACGATATGTATCACGATATGTTGAATTGGTTATAAAATGTTTTTTTGTATTGAAATGAACGAAACATTTCTTCACAAATAAGAATAATTTATTCATAGAAGTTGTACATCTGTTGTAAAACAAAATCATTTTACACAAGTGGTATTAATTATTATGTATTTCATATTTTTATTTATATTTAGCATATTTATTTTATATATTTAACCCAAAATGTTAAGTAAACAAAGAAAAACATAAGTTAGAATTTTTTGACGATATTTCGATATTTCCTCACACGTATCGATATGCGTATCATCCTCACATTGAATCGATATTATCGATATCTCGATAAATCGTCCCAGCCCTATTTCCTAATAGATTTTTTGTTGTTGAAATTTATACATCAAGTAAATCAGATGTTGTTTGTTATTAAATATTAATAAAGCATATTAGCATGGGAAATATCTGAATTGAAGTAAAACTCATTCCTTATAATAATGATGTTGGTTATGTAGGCACTGACGAGAAGGCCATTATAGATGTGATCAGCCATACCTCTAACAAACAACGACAGGAAATTCTCATCATGTTCAAAACCATGTATGGAAAGGTTTGTAAAATTTCCCCGTTTTCTAAATATTCATCTGCTGATTTCAGAGGTATATTACATGTTACATGTATTTATCTTTTTCAGGATTTAATCTCAGATCTGAAGTCAGAATTGTCTGGGGATTTGGAGGAATTGATTCTTGCTTTGTTTAAGCCCACTGACTACTATGATGCATGGTGCCTGAATAAAGCTATGAAGGTATATACAAAATTGTGAAATTTACATATACAAGGCAGAAGATACAAATAGATTAGTGGGTAGTTACATGTACTGGCATGTACATGTAGATGCAGATATGTATGTACATGTATGTAGGTACATGAACATAATTAGTTACACAATCAGTTTGGGACTTAATATGGAGTAATCCAGGATGTGAAATGGGGCTGTACTGGGAATTGGCAACTTCATATTATTAGGTCCCAAACTGAATATATTATGAATCTATCCCATCTAGGTACATCTACACAGGTTCTAGTGTGTAGATGCAAATGTACCTGTTTGTAGGTAAATCCATTTACGATATATACATTTGCAGGTGTTCAGATGGAAATGTATGTAGCCACTTACATGTATACAAATTTACTTGTAGGTGTATACAAACATGTATATTTAATTTAAATACATGTATATTTGAATATTTATGTAGGTACACTTACAAGTATTCTAATAAGCAAATATGCAAGTATCATATTTATATGTATATATTATGCTGTCAATACACATACAAATAATTGCATAAACCGATTTTTGTACTTGTTTGTTTAAAAGTATGACAACATCTTTAGTTTGCTATGATATATTCATCAATCATGAATGATATTAATTTTAATTCCTTTTGAATTTATAGGGAGTTGGAACCAGGGAATCAACTCTGATAGAAATTTTGTGCACAAGAACAAATGCTGAAATCAGAGGCATCAAAGCTGCATACAAACAACGTAATGTTTTCACATAAAACACTCATAATGCTTACATCTTATGCAGCCACCTTTAAAAATTTGATGTATTCTTAAAAACTAAATCCAATCTTAAATTAATTACCATATATACTCGCCTATAAGTTGTTTTTTGGGAGTTGTATTTTGGACCAAAACTCTTTGTCCGACTTATAGGCAAGTTATAAAAAGACTGGTATTTTAGAGGGTCTATCCCTCTAATAAAAACTTAAAAAATACAAGCAACTTATACGTGGACCGACTTATAGGCGAGTATATACGGTAAATGTAATATGATAAAAATTATGGATTTTGTTAGAATTAGAATAAATGGCAAGGCAATTATCCAAATATTCTGTTGCTTACAGGTTGCTTACAAACAAAGCAATGCTTTTACAATCTACTGGTAGCACTACAGATTGTGAATGTCCTGGTTAAGAGGCTTCTGATTTGATTTTGGATCTTTTTCAAGTTTATACTTTGTAAGCCTGATTTCAGACTTTGGTCGAGAGCTGGAAGCAGACTGTGTCAATGAAACAAGTGGACATTTCAAGAGACTACTGGTGTCATGTTGTCAGGTAACCATAGGAATTTTTAGTATTATTCTCAAACACTTTGTTTTGTATCACATGAGACTGTGGATATAATTTTGTGCATACATTTCTCCTTATTGTATCATCTCCTAAGACATAGACAAAGATTCTTACTAAGCAGACCATTGAAGTTTATATATGCAGTAATTTACACTGATTTAGTCAAAAGACCTTTTTCATCAATATGCTGTTCAGTGTAAAAAAGAAAATCTGATTTGTTGCAGGCAAACAGGTCCGAGTTGACAGACAGTCAGAGGCAGATGTTGATGCAGCGTGGCCCAGAAGCTGTCGTAGACCGGGCACAAGCTCAACAAGATGCCCAGAAACTCTACCAGGCTGGCGTCAAAAAATTTGGTACTGATGAATCTGCCTTCTTGGCTGTTCTATCAATCAGACATGAATTTCAACTGAGAGCCACTTTTGAGGAGTACCAGAAAGTAAGTACGGGGGAAATCATATTTTTTTGTCTGTATAATGGTGTGTTATTCATTACTTTTTCAATGAAGTGATTGCCAGTGTTGCAAATCAGGACCAAAGTTACTATTGAACATCAAAACTGAATCTTCAGTGTACATTGGATTAAATAATTGAACTTTCATTAAGTTGACATTTAATATACAAGTGGTTAACCCTGAGAAAAAGATATCCTCAGAAATAAAAAAAAAATCAGTACAAAATTTCCAAGACCAACTTATAAACCAAAGACACCTGAGGCATAGATAGTCTAAAAGACAAGATAATTTTTACAAAATTCATGGATTTATTTCATATCATACCATTAATTCAGATAACATTCCCCAATTTTGTTGTGTTCTAGAGATTGCCCCTATTCTGATATCTGAAAGTACAATCTCGAAAGAATTTTCTCCCCATGCAACTGTCACATGTGCATGAATAGACTGAAAAAAGGTAAATAATACATTCTGCCATTGACATCATCTTGTCAATCTGTCAGATTCTAATACCGGTAAGCTTTGTTTTATTTTCTTTTAATATTGATTCCAAATCTACAGAAAAAAATCACAGAAATGAATTTACTGAAACCTATAGATTTGATTTGTTTTGAACATACATTGTAATTATTCATTCAGCGTCATGTTCATAACACCTTTTAAAACAACAGAAAATGAAAATCACTTTGTTGTAAGCATGAAATCATTACAAGTGTGTTCACTGTAACAGTTTTTACTGTATATTAATACAGTTGAACTTTGGTATCATGAACACTGATACCTTGAATACCATGGATATGTTAAAGTGATTTGAAAGTCCCAACCACTTAATTCTTTAAGTATATTACCCCTTATATCTCAAATCCTTGGATTCTCTGTTCCATCGAGTTTTGAGATAACAAGGTTTGGCTGGGTATTGTGTTAATAGTTCAGCTAATTTCTGAGCAATATATAGTGTGCATGTATTTCAAAAGGCACTATTCCATAAAAGATGTTTATTCAAGAGCCCTAGTACATGTGTACTGTCTTTAAATAGTTAATACATATTTTTATATTTTTAGCTCTCTGGAAAGGATATCATGAGTTCAATAAGTTCTGAAATGTCAGGAGATCTTGAAGATGGATTTAAAGCAATAAGTAAGCTGGAGATAAACATTTATTTTCGCACTATTTTCACAAATTATTTAATAGGAGTTCATGAAGTTTACTTTTAAATGTTGCAGAATTACATTTGCAAGCATATTTTTAATTGGGAATTGCTTTTAACCATCATTGTATATATCTGTTTCTTCTCAGTAATGAGTGCAAAGAACAGGCCAAAGTTCTTCTCAGACAAGCTTCACAAGGCAATGAATAGGATTGGAACTGACGACTCCACCCTTATAAGGATCATTGTATCTCGTTCAGAGGTTAATCAATTTTCTCAGTCAAGAATAGACTATGCAGCTATTATTGATATTTCTCCTTTTGCTAGTTTGGATATACAATGTAGAATGTTCTTTTCCTCTTATCAAAGAACAGAGATTTGATTGTACAGTCATATTTTCCATTCAAAATGGGATTTACATTTGGACTACTTTGTACAGAGAATTCTTCACAGATTGAATCGATCATTATAAAATTCTGTTTTTCTTTTCAGATTGATTTACAGAACATAAAGGATCAGTATATGAGGGACCATGGGAAGACCCTTCATGCTGCTGTATCCTCAGAAACCAGTGGGGACTACAAGAAACTCTTACTGGCTCTGATTGGCCAATAGACAACATTAATGTTAACCTCTTTCCTCTGATTGGCCAATAGACAACATTACTGTTAACCTCTTTCCTCTGATTGGCCAATAGACAACATTACTGTTAACATCTTCCTTATCAATTTTGACTGACATTATTAAATTCTTAACTTTTCAGAGAGAGTAACTTTAAGTTAACTATTGACTAGAATAGAAAAAAAAACCAGTCAACCACTTTGTGAAGTAGCCATGAAAACCTTGTATATTAGTGTTTGCTTGAATAGGATTTTGACCTGTAGTTTATATGGAGAATAATACATACACCTGTACCTTTCTTCACAACACACCCTGTATCAGACTGAGACACCCATATCAGCCAGAGAGCAGAAGGCCAGAGGGCTGATATTAGTTGAGGGCGGATTCAGGGTGTGTTATGGAAAAGGGTATGTTTTATTATGTTTATTACATACTTAGTAATAACATACAGCCCACATCTACTTGAGCAAATACAATGAATAATCACCAACTAGTTTATTGTATCAAATCCCAGTAATTTAATATAAAATATGAAATCTTTTTTGCAGAGAATGGGAATGAAAATTATGTGTATTATTACAAATACTGTCTAATCCACAAAGGGTGTGATATTAATCTGTATCAGCCCTGCAGGATCCGTATCAGCCCTAGAACTGATACAGCTTTTGTGACATGAGATATATCGCATATGCAAAAAAAAAATTTATTTATTACTAAGTATGTAATACTAGTAAATGCATGTATCTTTATACATTTCTATATTAGTAACCGTGTTGTGCATTTACATATCTTGTATGTAAGTTGTGAGGATTTTTATTCCATCTTTTAAAGGTTTTTTTTTGAAAGATTGGTTTCTAATTACATGTATTTACTGCTATATATTACTTTGATATTCATTAAAAGAATAAAGAAAATCAAGTAGGTGCATGTAGCCTCTATCATATATTTCTGCAAACAAAGTAAATGTACAGTGCACCTGCATTTGACAAAGCATCGTTTTGCTGGCATCTTAATTAAGAACTGTTTGAATATCGACCCATCAAACCAAACTGTTTGCCTTCGGCCTACGGGCCTCAGGCAAACGGTTTGGTTCTTGGGTCCGACAAAATGCATGTTACCTTCGAGCCCATGCAGTCAATAAATGTATAATATTTGTAGTTCAATTCCTCTTCTCTATTATTTTAGAACAGAGTAAGGAGTTCACTTCAAACTTTGGATTTCTTTAGTACGAAAGCCTATTAGGATCAATCTATGGAGAAAAAATTTTTTGAAAGGCGTTATAACGCCTCTCCAAAAGGTGTTATTACGCCTTTTCAAAAGGCGTTATTACGCCTTTCCAGAAGGCGTTATTATGCCGTTTGAATATCCATTATTATGCCTTTGACAGGCCTGTGCTTTTGAAAGGGGGGGTGGGGCTCCCAAAAAATTGACAAGCAAAAAAAAAACAGAACCCCCCCCCCCTTAAAAAAAATAACTTAGAAACCTAAACTCGAGGGGGGATCTTTTTCTAACTTTTCGGTAAAACTTTTTAAATGCAATAATTTGCCAGAATCCCCCCCCCCCCCCGCACACATACTACCGGCCTTGTATCCAAAAATGGAAAAGCGTTATTTTATATTAATAAATATATGAAAGGTTGAATCAAAGCCATCTTTATTCGTGCAATATTTAAAAGTATTTTCTATATTCCTACACATCTCGCAGACAACTGTTTGCATGCGTATTAAGAGAAGTCAACAGTCTACTTGTGAAAATCCAGGATATAGGCAGATGCAGCTTGGGGCTTTGCTGGCCATGTATTAAAAATTCTTGTCAAATTTGAAAATATTTTTCTCTCCTCTTGGAAAAAAGCAGGCAAACTATTTGCATGGGTATAATGAGCAATTAGCCTTCAACCAAATTTGTGAAATCCATGACCCTTGGTAGAGGACTAGAAGGACTGTTGGTTTAACATTGAAAATATATTGCATATTTAAAAATATTGTTTCCTGGAAATCTAATTACAATATGTTTAAATTATTTTTCGAGGAATTAGCCTTATGTTCAATTGTGAAATTCATGTTCCGAGGATAAGATTTCAGCCCCCGGGGTGGGCTAAGTTAGTCATGTATTGAGAATAAAAAGCGTAATAACGCCTTTTTAAAAGGCTTAATAACGCCTTTGGAAAGGCGTAATAACGCCCTTTTTCGCGTTTTTTTCGCGTTATTACGCCTTTTCTGAAGGCGTTATAACGCCTTTTATAACGCCTTTTTGCGTTATTACGCCTTTTTGAAAGGCGTTATAACACCTTTTAATTTTTTTTTTTTCTCCATAGATTGATCTCAGAAAGCTTTCGTAACTATATCTGTTACGTTACAAAATAAATTTTTGAAAAATGTTGGAATAAACAGATGAAGTAAGACATAGAATCGTATAGTAATAGGCAGTAACTCCAAGGGTTATTTGTGAGCTATAGGACAACAAATTACGTATATTTATTCCGGAGTATATCTTCCTCCCTACCCCCTTTTCTTGCATGTCTAGCTTTGAGGGTGGATCAACAATTTCACAATAAAATTGATAAATATTCAACATTATCAATAATCATGAACTTTTTATGGACGCCGTTTCAGTATATTAATTTTCTGGATGGACAGTTTTGATGTCGATCGATCAGTGTTGTTACTTTCTCACTGATCACTGATGTTATCGGGGGGAGGAGGGGGGGGGGGGCTGAATATGTTTATCGCCAAACCCCCTAACTGTCACTTTCGGGAACGTAAACGAATGCTATTATGACCACAGGTGCTTGAGGACAGGACCCCCCCCCCCCCCCCGATATAGACCCCTGGGCCTTTTCGACTTTTCTCTCATAAATTATCTTTCATTGACATATTTGTGATATAATCTATACCAACAATTCGAAAAATTACCTAAAACAAACATTTTATAAAATCTACCCCACTCTATATATATAAATCTATATTTATATATATATAGGGTAGGGTAGTAATTTTTATAAAATGTTTGTTTAAGTCAATTTTCCGAATTGATTATATAGAGATTACATCATAAATGAGTCATCCATATATAATACATGACAAAAAAGTCGAACACGCCCGGGGGTCTATATCGGGGGGGGGGGGGGGGGGGTCCTGTCCTCGAGCACCTGTGATTATGACGTCATTTTTTTTTACATGCTGAAAATCTACTTGTAATCAAATGCCGAGAAATTTTTACGGTCCAGTTCAAGAATGCGTCAAAAATAAATAACAATTAAACGTGATCTATTGTATCTATCATATTTTGTGTGAAATCAGTATGTACTTTTTTCCTTTATGCGCTATTCCATTCCATCGATACCTCCGACATATGCGTAAATTGATATGATCATTTTCATATGTCATTCATATTTATTACGGCCTTTGCCAAAGGATTAACATGATTGACATACCATATATAATGAATACGGCTTAAATATTTTATGTTTCCTGTCAGTTTAATTGCCCTAATATGTTTGAGATAACGTAGCGTGACGTTACTGGTTACATACCATACGTTTAATAACTCTGCACTCCCCCCCCCCCTTTTCTTTTTTAGATGCACACATGTAAATAAGTTCACCTTTAAGTCTACTTTGTACGAAAGCCTATTAGGATCAAACTACGGTAAAAAAAAAAATTAAAAGGCGTCATAACGCCTTTTCGAAAGGCGATATAACGCGAAAAAAGGCGTTATTACGCCTTTCCAAAAGGCGTTATTACGCCTTTCTAAAAGGCGTTATTACGCCTTTTGAAAAGGCGTTATTACGCCTTTCTAAAAGGCGTTATTACGCCTTTTTAAAAGACATTAATACGCCTTTCAAAAAGGCGTTATTATGCCTTTTGAAGGGCCATTATCATGTCTTTGACAGGCCCGTGCTTTTAAAGTGGGGGGGGGTGTCCCATGAAATTGACATGCAAACAAAAAAACAAGAAACCCCCCTCCCCCCCCCCCCCCCGAAAAAAAATAAACTGCCTAAACTTGAGGGGAAACTTTTTCAAATTTTTTGGTAAAACTTTTTTTAAATGCAATGACTTGCCCGAGTTTAACCATACTGCAACAAAATGTTAAGGGACCAAGCAATCAATAAATGATTTTTTATATTTAAACTATAGCAAGACTATTCTCCCAAAAATTGGGGTGGGGGACCCCCCCCCCCTACTCACATTCGTACTACCGGCCTGTTTGAAAAGGAGTTGTATCCAAAAATGGAAAGGCGTTATTTTAAAATAGTAAATATATGAAAGATTGAACCAAAACCATCTTTATTAATGCAATATTTAGATTATAGTTTTAATATTATAAATTATGTTATAAATTATAGTATTTTCTATATTCCTGCACATCTCGCAGACAGTTGTTTGCATTTTGCATGCATATTAAGAGAAGTCAACACTCTACTTTTGAAAATCCAGGATATAGGCAGAACCAGCTTTGGGCTTTGCTAGCCACATATTAAAAATTCATGTCAAATTTGAAAATTTTTTCTCTCCTCTTGGTACAAAACAGGCAAAGTATTTGCATAGGTATAATGAGCAATTAGCCTTCAACAAAATTTCTGAAATCCATACACCTTGGTAGAAGCGTCTGGCATCAGCGAAGGACTAAGTTGGTTTAACACTGAAAATATTTTACACATTTAAAAATCTTTTTTCCTAGAAATCTAATTATAATCAGCTCCCAGGGTGGGCTAAGTAAGTCATGTATTGAAAAAAAAAGGCGTAATAACGCCTTTTAGAAAGGCGTAATAACGCCTTTTGGAAAGGCGTAATAACGCGTTATTACGCCTTTTTTCGCGTTATATAACGCCTTTTGAAAAGGCGTTATAATGCCTTTTAAATTTTTTTTTTTACCGTAGTTTGATCCTAATAGGCTTTCGTAACTTTGGACTACTTGTCATGGAAAGTGAATATTGAATTGAAGTTTCCTTTCGTATTTGCTATATAGGTCTATATTTTATACATTGGTACTATATAGATATTTGAGAAAGTGTTTTCATACTTTTCCCGCGAAAATTGTGTTTTTCGAAGTGCACTCTGGGAAATATTTAGATTATAGTTTTAATATTATAAATTATGTTATAAATTATAGTATTTTCTATATTCCTGCACATCTCGCAGACAGTTGTTTGCATTTTGCATGCATATTAAGAGAAGTCAACACTCTACTTTTGAAAATTGTGTTTTTCGAAGTGCACTCTGGGAAATATTTAGATTATAGTTTTAATATTATAAATTATGTTATAAATTATAGTATTTTCTATATTCCTGCACATCTCGCAGACAGTTGTTTGCATTTTGCATGCATATTAAGAGAAGTCAACACTCTACTTTTGAAAATTGTGTTTTTCGAAGTGCACTCTGGGAAATATTTAGATTATAGTTTTAATATTATAAATTATGTTATAAATTATAGTATTTTCTATATTCCTGCACATCTCGCAGACAGTTGTTTGCATTTTGCATGCATATTAAGAGAAGTCAACACTCTACTTTTGAAAATCCAGGATATAGGCAGAACCAGCTTTGGGCTTTGCTAGCCACGTATTAAAAATTCATGTCAAATTTGAAAATTTTTTCTCTCCTCTTGGTACAAAACAGGCAAAGTATTTGCATAGGTATAATGAGCAATTAGCCTTCAACAAAATTTCTGAAATCCATACACCTTGGTAGAAGCGTCTGGCATCAGCGAAGGACTAAGTTGGTTTAACACTGAAAATATTTTACACATTTAAAAATCTTTTTTCCTAGAAATCTAATTATAATCAGCCCCCAGGGTGGGCTAAGTAAGTCATGTATTGAAAAAAAAGGCGTAATAACGCCTTTTAGAAAGGCGTAATAACGCCTTTTGGAAAGGCGTAATAACGCGTTATTACGCCTTTTTTCGCGTTATATAACGCCTTTTGAAAAGGCGTTATAATGCCTTTTAAATTTTTTTTTTTACCGTAGTTTGATCCTAATAGGCTTTCGTAACTTTGGACTACTTGTCATGGAAAGTGAATATTGAATTGAAGTTTCCTTTCGTATTTGCTATATAGGTCTATGTTTTATACATTGGTACTATATAGATATTTGAGAAAGTGTTTTCATACTTTTCCCGCGAAAATTGTGTTTTTCGAAGTGCACTCTGGGAAATACGGAAAATGTGCCAAGATGGCTGAAAACTTCAAGGATTTACGTCTGAAGCTCCAATCTCCACACAGTCACAACTCGTCAAGGTACAGCAAGGACAGAAAGTCTGACAAATCTAGAAGAGATTCAAATGGCACGTACAAGTCAAAGTCACGCTACCGTGAATCTGACAACAGTTGGCATAATGCCGACGAGTTAAGTAAGGTACACGCCGGAATCAAGCAACGTCGATTGTTTACAGATGATCAGTGCGAAGAAATCGAGAAGAAAATAAACGAAACAGTCAAAATAGCAGAGAAAGGAACATATAAACAACACACAGTCGACAGGGCACCACTGAGAAACAAGTATTTCTTTGGCGAGGGTTATACTTATGGGTCTCAGCTGGAGAAGAAGGGTCCTGGGATGGAAAGACTGTACCCCAAAGGTGAAGTGGATGAAATCCCGGACTGGATACATGAACTGGTCATTAAGCCTCTGTACGACGCTAAAATCGTACCAGAAGGGTTTGTTAATAGTGCTGTTATAAACGATTACATGCCAGGCGGTTGCATTGTGTCCCACATAGATCCACCCCATATTTTTGACCGCCCCATTGTTTCAGTGTCTTTTTTCAGTGACAGTGCTCTCTGTTTTGGTTGTAAGTTTTCTTTCAGGCCAATCAGAGTTTCTCCACCTGTTCTATGTTTGCCAATTGACAGAGGATGTGTCACAATGATCAGGTAATTTTGAAAATGGAAAACTTGTTAAATGTCTAAGATGTATGAAGAATGTATTGTATAAGGTTTGAAACATTTTTGCAACAATCATGAGCACACTCTGCTGTCATATACATTAGTTTAATTTGTACTGTGACACGTATTATGATCATTGTCAGTTTGTTACATTTTATACAGTGGATATGCTGCAGATGACATCACACACTGTATTCGTCCACAAGATGTTGTGCAAAGAAGAGCAGTCATTATTTTGCGAAGGTAATATTAGATAATGGGAATTAATGAATAAAAGTTATTTCACTAGTAAGATTAATATAAGGTAAAGATTAACTCTAGAATAGATCATTTTAATTTTATCATGTTTTTTAAGGTTGTAAGTAAGTTTAATGATTTCGGAATCAGGTATTGATTTATCAATATTTATGGTATAAAGGATGGTTTTTAACAACCCATACATGTATTTTTAGAGTTTTCCCAGATGCCCCTAGACTAGGAACACCATCAGAAAAACAGATCTCTCGGAAACGTAAGCGCAGCAGATCAGAGTCTGCATCTGATTTGGAAGATGACCATCACAAAAAAAGTAGGAGAACGGTATCAATACAGAGGAGCAAACATCACTCCAGTAGTCAGCATTCTAATGGTCATCAGTCATCAAAAGCACGGAAAAAAGAGAGTCACTCACACACAGCCAGTAAAACCAGCGACAGTCAGGAAAGCAGTGAAGAGGAGGAGGAGCCAGTTTTAACACCAAAAAAGAGCATTCGACAGGTTCGAGTGTCACGTATGTCTCGACACAGGAAACTCTGTTGGTAGATTGACTTCTGAAGATAAATCTTGTTGCTTTTGGTTGCCAAAGTATACACATTGTACATGTGTTGCTGATATTTTTTTTTTTTTTTTTGTTGAAGTAGTTTTTTATAAAGAAGATTCTGTCAGAAGAAAGTATTTACTCTGTCAGAGTCACACTTGTGTACAGTTTACATCACAGGCATGATTTTTTTTGTTTTTGTTTTTTTTTTTTTTTGCGTGAAGTTCATTTAAATCCCAAAGATTGGGTTGAAAAAAATTTTATTGTCATTAGTAAAGGTATATAGATGTATGTACACATTACAATAATTGTCATTTTTCAATTGTATTTACAAGATGTTTTTGCATCACTTCACAAGATCTGAGTGATCATAAGAAGTAAAATCTCATAGAAAGTATGCAATCTGTATTAGCATTTAAAATAAATAGGTGGCGTCACATAATTTAAATCACTTCAAAGCTTTCATTTTACTGTTTTTTACTGCATTTTTTTCCCAAATACACCATGATGTGCTGATGGGTGAAGTTCATGTTTTAAAAGGTGAAAATTGAGATTTTGCTGTAATGCAATTGAAATCATGATGAAAGATAGAAGATTTTTTGGAATGAATTTAATAAATGGATACATTTGTATCTGTTGTTATTTAAAAAGTTTTAAAGTGTAAAAAGGGAACATTTTCTGGACACAAGCTTTTAAGAAAATGAATGTTTTTGGGGGATTTTCTATATTGGATTTAAATAGTTATGATCTTAGTTGTGCTTATTACTACATTAGTCTTCCTACTGAGTATTGAGTACACATACACTTTGTAAATATATACAGATCAGATAATAAAATTTATAGTGCTGCCTTTCATTCATTACTGAGCGTACTTAACCCATAACTTGGTCCTCATACAGTCAATCAGTTCTATAGGTATCTGTTACAGAAGTTTTGTATGAAATGCTTTATTTCTATTGTATAGTTTTTACCTACACAGTTATCATATTTTAGATATAAGGTTGTTTTTTTAATGTAAAAATGTTGAAAAGATAAAAAAAAAAATAGAATTGATTGATTGATTTGAAAAGAATCCCTTTAGTAAGCATTGTAATCATTTACTTAGAACACTATGTGTATAGTTTATCAATGTTTTTGGTTAGGGATTATATGAAGCAACTTTCTATTTCAGTATACTGATTGTGTTCATAGAAAAGTACTCAATGGGTCCCCCTCCCTAATAACTTACCCATGAAGTTAAAGTCCTGTGTAAAAAATGTAGATATGGTAATAGTACCATTATTTAGAAATATTGATTGATTTTAAGAACATTTAAATATACAGATGCAGCTGTTGTTCTTATTTTAACAGAATCAACAAGATATAGTTCTCCAGGCCATCTTTAAAAAATTGTTTGTTTGCCCTCTCCTGACCGACTGGCTAAAAATGACCCCATTTAAAACTTTTTTTAAAAAAATTTAATTTTAATAAATTTTGAAAATTAAGCATTAATATTGAAATTTTCTGGAAAAAAAATTCCCACCTACCTACCAACCCATTTGGGAGAGAGCAAACAAACATTATTTTAAAGATAGCCTCAGTCATTGCATGTTCATATGATGGAATGTTTATTTTTCCCCAAACACAAAAATCAAACCATTAATATTTTTTATACTTCATTTGTATCACGGCATTGAAAATTGTATTTTGATTGCTTGCTCTGTTACTATACACTGATGTGTGATTTAGGGTTTATTTCACCACAGAAATGAGAATCGCTAGGGTGTGAAGCTATCATATGTGTCTATGCTTACAAATTCTTGTGTCCTTATCTACATGATGAAACTGAAGGCTTGCGACAAAGACCTTCAGTACAACTTGTATGTTTATAATCAGTAAGTACTGCATTGTATATATTCATTTTGTGAGAAAATTGGGTTAAGGGAAACGGCAACATGGAAAAGTTTTTTTGTTTTTAATTTTTTTGTGCATTTCCAAGAAAAAAGTTTTGAAATGTAAAGTGCTATACCTCAATTGGATCTTGCCCTAGTCATTTCAGTTAATTTCATTAAAATTGCTTTGAATTTGGAATTAATCATTCATTCCATGTTCTTAGTAAGAAATTAAAATTTCTACAATGAGTAAAATTCAAATTCAGTCAACTGACCTATGAAGAGAAGTAAATGAACATTTATGCTTTGAAGTAATTACATGTAGTTTACATAATCTATTGTTAGTTTCTTTGTTTTGTTTTTATGCCCCCATGTAATCGAAGATTCAGGGACATATAGTTTTTGCTCTGTCCGTCTGTCTTTCTGTTTGTCTGTGCACAAAAACTTTGACCTTTCTCATAACTTTTGACCAAACTTCAACTTTGGCCATAGCCTTGAGTGGTTGCTGCTGGGGCTTTCATACTTCACATGTGTATACCTTGAGATAAGACCCTCCCTTGGGTACAAATATTTTTTACCTTGACCTTAGAGTTTGACCTACTTTTGAAAAATTTTACCTTGGTTATAACTTTTTGGTTGGTGCTGGGGCATATATCACATGCGTTTGTGGCAAGAACTTTCTTTGGGTACCAACAATGTTGACCTTGGAGTTATCCTACTTTTGAACACTTAAACTTTGGCCCTAACTTTTGAACACTTGGCGCTTAGCTTTCATATTTCACCGATGTATTTCTTGTGACAAGACCTTAAGTACCAATATTAATTAACTCATGACCTTGAGCTGGAAGATTCACCTACTTGTGAAAAAACTTTTATCTTGAATATATTTTCTGAATGATGCTGCAAGGGCCTTCATATTTCACAGGTTTATTTCTTGTGATAAGACCTTTCTTCAGGTACCATCATTTTTTATCTCTTGACCTTAGAGTTTGACTTGCATTTGAGAAACTTTGACCGTCGCTATGAGCTGCGGTACGTGGGTATCAGTGTTTTACAAACACACAGTGTTATCATAATGATATTGAAGTCTCTGTTCAGGTATAATCAGACTGAAAAGCAGAAAGTACAAAATTTGTTTTAGAAAGAATAAACAATTTTAAAAGCTGGTGAATATAGAACATTGTAAATAATAATGACTCAAATTTTTGTGTTAATCTTTGATGTTGAAAAAGTCATAAACTTATAATAGTCATGTTTAATCAATTTTTTGATTTTCTTTGTTGACCATGCTAAATATGTTTTAATTTGTACGGTGATTTAAGATTCTGTTGTCGTTTGTGAAGTATTATTGCAGAATAAAAGCGTTTTGGACTTCACTGTCTTGAAGCAACTTTATGAAACTAAATTTACAGCACTACAAATAGCTGGTTTTTACGAAAGCCTATTAGGACCAATCTGTGGATGAAAAAAAATTAGGGCGTAATATCGCCTTTTCAAAAGGCATGTTGACGCAAAAAAGCGTAATAACGCGAAGTGAAAAGGCGTTATAATGCCATTAACGACGTAATAACACGAAAAAAGGCGTTATAAGGCGAAATAACCCCAATAAAGGCGTAATAACGCTAAAAAGGCCTTATTACTTCCCAATTAGCAGTCATATGCCTTTTAACAGTGACAGGTCCATATTTTTGAAAGGGGGTGGCAGCGTCCAAAAAGTTGACAAGCCCCTCCCCCCCCCTCCAAAAGAAAATGCCTAAACTTGAAAATCCTATATCTGGGTGGGGGGATCTATTTAAAACTTTCGGCCATACTGTAGCAAAATGTGCAGGCTCTAAGCAGCCAACAATTTTTTTTTTGTATTTAAACCACAGCAAGACTAGTCTCTCTCTCTCTCCCCCCCCCCCTCCCCCGTACTACCAGCCTGTTTGAAAAGGCGTTATAGCGAAAAATGGAAAGGCGTTATTTTATCTTAATAATGACAGGAATGATTGAATCAAAGCCATCTTTATTCATGCAATATAAAAATATTTTCTATACTCCTGCGCATCTCTCAGACAACTGTTTGCATGCGTGTGCAAGATCCATTATGACGTCAAAATAGATTTTAAACTTAATTTTTTCCCCTTACTTTACGGACATAATGGAAATATGTCTAGAAAATGATTTATTTTCATGGAATTCAATTTAAAATAATGTCAAAAGTAACCCCGGTACATATATTCAATTTAATATCATTTTGAAGATGATGTCAAGAAGATACGAAAAACTGTTTTCTGAGAAATGGTGGTCAGTATTGTCGGATACATTTCCTTTTTCTGAGGTGGAAAAAAAACTTCCATATATAAACCGCTTTTTTCTTCGTTTTTTATTGAAAATGACAGTTTAAAGTATCTTTTTTCATTGAGTTTACCTAAAAATTATGTACCGATACACCTAATTTCACCAAGCTATATTTGTAAAGGCTCATTAAAATATCTGTTTTGTATCTCTTCGTAATATACAACAAATTAATCATAATTATCATTATATTATGATTTTTAAATTGTTTTTAAAATGTCTAAGTAGATAAGACCCCCCCCCCCCCAAAAAAAAATGCGGTATTGGTGATGCTAGTGATTTCCAATAAGATTATAACGTAAATAACATCCCCTGGTATCTCGCACAAATACCTGGTAAGGTACCTTAATTTTTTGTAAGGGAATGTTAAAGGAGCATAGTTCAATGACAAATTCTTGGAAAAAGTTATATATTATTGAGGAATGTGTCGTCTGACCTTAAGAGAAGTCAACACTCTACCCGTGACTAGGATTTTGGCAGATGCAGCTTTGCTGGTCATGTATTAAAAATTCATTTCAACTTTGAAAATATTTTTGTCTCCTCTTGGAAAAAAACGGGCAAACTGTTGATATGGGTATAATGAGCAATTAGCCTTCAACCAAAATTATGAAATCCGTGACCCTTGGTGTAGGAGTCTGGCATCAGAGAAGGACTAAGTTGCTTTTCAGTTACAATTACACAAATGTGAGGAATTTTTTAAGACAGCCATTGAGACCAGAACTATTATTTTTGATAGCTTTAAGATTCCTCTCAATAGGGTAGTACAAGATGTCCATGTTAATAACTTTCGTTACAAAATGATTGATTTTTGCAAAAACAATGATATTTATATTGTAAATGGCCGTGTTGGCAGTGATAAATATGTAGGAGGTTTAACTTGCAAAGGTAGTAGCACAGTGGATTATGTGGTTGCCACAGCACCTATGTTTGAAATTATTCCAGATTTTGATATCACTGACTTCTGTAACTTGTATTCGGACGTACATAATCCTGTTTCATTTTCTATCTTACCAGCCTTTTTAACAGAACACAGGTGTGAAGGTACTGTTGAAAATCAGTCACGTGTAAAACTATGGTCACCAGATCAAGCAAAACATTTTTCAGAGAATGTGGATATACCTAAGGTCAAGGACATAGAAAATGAGTTCTTTACTAATGTTGCTTGTTTCCGTACTACTGGTCAAAATATCTACACTATAAATGATGTTACTAATAAGCTATGTGGTATATTTTTAAACACAGCTAAATCAACATTTGGTTCAGTCGAAATTTTAAGAAAAATAATTGTAAAAACAAATGCAATAAACCCTGGTTCAGTAAAGAGTGCAAAACGGCTAGAAAGAAATATCATTTAACAAAGCGATTAAATAGTAAAAATTCTTGTTTAGAAAATAAAGCTAATCTTCAATTAGAAAGCAAAAGCTATAAAAAGATACTGGATTCATGTATAAAAGATTATAGAAAAGGCATGACAAAAAACTTGAAATCACTACGCTCTACAAATACTCGAGATTACTGGAAAATTTTAAATGGTCCAAATATGTCAAATAAATGTGCTGTAGATATTAATGCTATGTTTGATTTTCTTAAGGGCATCAATGAAGGTTATGATAATGACATAGAAGATGATGATACTTTAAGGTTCCCAACAGACAGCCATGAATGAGATGATTTTTTGAACTTTGAGATAAGTGAGGAAGAAATTTTATTTGCAGTAAAAAAAAATGAAAAATAATAAGGCCGCAGGCTACGATCAATTGCTAAACGAACATATTCCCACTCTCTACCATCGGCTCATACATTCACCTCTGTCGTTGGCTCGCGTATACCACAGTGATGAGCACGAGAAATAGTGCGTTTCTTTTAATTCATTATAATTAAATGTCTGAGCTAATGATAGTCCTTAAGGATGGATATTAATTTACAAAATAGATCTTAAACTATTAGTTTAATTTGAAATAATCCTTGAACTGTTATGTTTTTAACATTATGTCAAAAATCTTGACGCGAGCCCATTGCAGAGGTGTCTGAGAGAGGAACGAACGACAACTCTGCATAGGAGATTGACATATTTCGTCAACAGTATCCATACTTTTGCCTGTATGCAAAAAAATGTTTAATTTGATTTTTGATAGTGGAGTCATTCCACACGAATGGCTCACAGGTATTGTCAAACCGATTTTCAAAAATAAAGGCGACCCAACAAATCCAGAAAATTATCGTCCAATAACACTTTTAAGTTGTCTTGGTAAGCTTTTTACCTCCATTTTATGTAAACGTTTGGAATGCTATGTAGAGAATTTAAACCTTATAGGTGAAAGTCAAACCGGCTTCAGGAAAGGGTATTCTACCCTAGATAATATACTGACTTTACATTTTCTTACAAACATGGTTATGTCTTTCAAAAAGAAACTTTTCTGTCCTTTTGTTGACTTTAAACAGGCATTCGACACGGTGTGGAGAAATGGGCTTTGGTACAAATTGTTAAAAATGGCATTAGTGGTAAATGTTTTACATTTATAAAAACTATGTATAATGGAGTTAAGTCCCTTGTGACTATGAATGGTCTTTCATCTGAGTTTTACAACTGTAACATTGGTGTACGCCAAGGAGAAAATCTATCGCCTCTCTTGTTTTCTATGTACATGTATATGGTTTATGGCGAAACGGGTCGCTTCCTTTGTATATAACGGTGTATATAAGAATGATATCACATTGGGCAAAATTACTGGTAAGCCCTGAAATAAGATTGTTTATGTTACATATAAGCATTTATTTGAACACTTTTGTTCAGGAAGTCATAGGAACCCTTGGATTTTATGTATTAAGAATATACTTGATACTTGTGGCTTCTCAAATATATGGAATGAACAGGCCTTTTTAAATATAAAATGGCTAAAAACTATAGTTGAACAACGTCTTAAAGATCAGTACATACACAAATGACAAATGCGCGATTCGTCTAAAGGTCAAATGTATAGTATCTTCAAAACAGAATTTGGATTTGAAAAATATTTAGACTTACTACCTAAAAAATTTAGAACAATTTAGGAATGACTCTAATTCTTGGCCAAATTATTTTTAATTAAATTAAGAACAGCAAATCATCGTCTCCCATTTGAGACTGGGAGATGGTTTGGTATTCCCAAAAATGATAGACTTTGTAATATCTGTAATAATGGACAAATAGCAGATGAGTATCTCTATATTTTAGAATGTCAATTTTTCTCAGAATGCAGAAAAAAGTATCTAGCTAGTAAATATTGTAGTAGACCAAATTTCTACAAATTCTCAGAATTGTTGTCAACTGCTGAATCCAAGGTATTTATTAATCAAACTATGCAGCTACATGGATAGGGTATATGAACAAGTCTGTCCTCCATAATTATTCTCTTTTTTTTTGTAACTTTATAATTTGAATATATTTCCGCCATTTCACGTGCATCTTATATATTGTTTTTTGTATATATTGTACATAGAACTTCATGTACCATTAATTGGTTTGAGTGAATAAATTGAACTTGAACTTGCTTTAACATTGAAAATACATGAGAAATTAGCCCTATACCAAATTGTGAAATTTATGTCCCGGGGGTCAGCATTTCAGCCTCCGGGATGGGCTAAGTTAGTCATGTATTGAAAATAAAAGGCGTAGTATCGTCTTTTGGAAAAATGTAAAAACACCTTTTTAATAACGCTTTTTGGAAAGGCGTAATATCTCCTATTGAAAAGGCATGATTCAATATAATTAAAATCAAAGCGGATCAAACATCTAATTTTGATTATATTGGGCGTAATTATGCCTTTTGAAAAAGCGTAATAACGCCTTTCAAAAAGCGCAAATAATGCTCTTAATTTTTTCCCCTCCATAGATTGATCCTAAATTTATTTCTTTACGTTTTTAGCTTCGGTAATTTTCGTATCTTAAGAATACTGGTTTTTCATGCACGAGCGATTTAGCGCTCACTATAAATACATTTGCCGGGCAATGTTCGATTAATGCGACGTTCGTTACAAAGAATCGCAGTAGTTTTTGTGT